GTGTCATCCGCAAATTTACTAACCCATCCTTCTACGCCCTCATCCAGGTCATTTATAAAAATGACAAACAGCAGTGGCCCCAAAACAGATCCTTGAGGTACACCACTAGTAACTGAACTCCAGGATGAACATTTCCCATCAACCACCACCCTCTGTCTTCTTACAGCTAGCCAATTTCTGATCCAAACCGCTAAATCACCCTCAATCCCATGCCTCCGTATTTTCTGCAATAGCCTACCATGGGGAACCTTATCAAACGCTTTACTGAAATCCATATACACCACATCAACCGCTTTACCCTCATCCACCTGTTCAGTCACCTTCTCAAAGAACTCAATAAGGTTTGTAAGGCACAACCTACCCTTCACAAAACCCTGTTAACTATCCCTAATCAAATTATTCCTTTCTAGATGATTATAAATCCTATCTCTTATAATCCTTTCCAACATTTTACCCACAACCGAAGTAAGGCTGACTGGTCTATAATTACCAGGGTTGTCTCTACTCCCCTTCTTGACCAAGGGGACAACATTTGCTAGTCTCCAGTCTTCTGGCACTATTCCTGAAGACAATGACGACATAAAGATCAAAGCCAAAGGCTTTGCAATCTCCTCTCTAGCTTCCCAGAGAATCCTAGGATAAATCCCATCCGGCCCAGGGGACTTATCTATTTTCACACCTTCCAGAATTGCTAACACCTCCTCCTTGTGAACCTCAATCCCGTCTAGTCTAATAGCCTATATCTCAGTATTCTCCTCGACAACATTGTCTTTTTCCTGTGTGAATACTGACGAAAAATATTCATTTAGCACCTCTCCTATCTCTTCGGACTCCGCGCACAACTTCCCACTACTGTCCTTGACCGGCCCCAATCTTACTCTAGTCATTCTTTTATTCTTGACATACCTATAGAAAGCTTTAGGGTTTTCCTTGATTTCTCCTTACTATTAACCAACTGGCCGATCTTTGTGCCATCCACAAACTTCCTTATTATCATAGAATCCCTACAGTGCACATTTGGCCTATTAAGGCTGTACTGACCCTCTGAAGGACATCACACGCAGATCCCCTGTCCACCATCCCTGTAACCCCACATTTCCCATGGCTAATCCACCTAACCTGCACAACTCTAGACAGCACGGGACAATTTAGTATGACCAATCCACCTAACTTGCACATCTTTGGACTTTGGGAAGAAATCAGAGCTCCCAGAGGAAACCCACGCAGACACGTGGAGAACGTACAAAATTCACACAGACAGTCGTCTAAAACTGGAACTGAACCCAGGTCTCTGGTGGCAGCAGTGCTAACCACTGAGCCACTGTTACGTCATTTCCCTCTCATATCCTTATTCATATTATAATAATAAGGGACCAGCCCTGATCCCTGTGCTATGCTACTGGACACCAGCCTCCAGTCACAGCCTTCTACCACTGCTCTCTGTCTCCCTCCACTCTACCAATTTCGCATCCATCATGCCATGCTATCCTGGATCCCATATTATTTTACCATATTTGTCAGTCTCCGTGCAGCACTTTCTCAAAGGCTTTGCTGACATCCAAATAAACTACATCAACTGCATTACCCTCATCTACACATCTGGTCACCTTAAAAATTGCTAGGCATGATCTGGTTTTATTACTTCACAGAATGAGGGCATTGCTGGCTAAACTAGCATTTATTGCCCATCCCTAGGCTTATTAAGAGTCAGCCACATTGCTACGAGACTGGAGTCATATGTAGGCCAGACCAGATAAGGATGGCAGCTTCCTTCTCTAAAGGGCATTAATGAACCATATGGGTTTTGCCAACAATCGATAGTGGATTCACGGTCATCATTAGATCTTCATTGAATTCAAATTCCATCAGCTGCCATGGTAGGATTCAAACCCAGGTCTCCAGAACATTACCTGGATTTCTAGATTAACAGCCCAGCGATAATACCACTAGGCCGTCAGCTCCCTAGTGATCTCCCTCTGACAGAGCCCGACTGACTGTTCCTGATCCAACCTTACCTCCAATTGGAGATGAATTGTCTCCTTCAGTATTTTCTTCACCAGTTTCCTTACGGCTGATGTGAGACTCACTGATCTGTAATTCCCTGGTTTATCTCTACCACCATCCTTGAAAAGTTGTCCTCCAGTCCTCTGGCATCTCCTTTCTAGCAAGGCAGTCCCTGCAATTTCTTCCCTTGCTGTCTGCAGCAGACTAGGATGTAACTCCTCTGGACTTGAGAATTTACCCACTATTAAAGTTGCTAGAGCCACCAGTGCCCCCTCACTCCCTATTTCAATCTACTCAGGAATCTCACAATCCCTCTCACCGGATTTTGTACTACATCCTCCATCTGAATGAAGGCAGATGTGAAGTATTTGTTCAACACTCTACTAATATCCATCAGTGCCGCTCTTGATTTGCTCCCTTTGCACTGCTAAAATCCTCACCTTTCCTTCTTCTCCAGTCCTGAATATTCCTAGTCATCCAGGGTTCTCTGGGCTTGTCGCTCCTAGATTTCACCCTAAAGGCGCTGTCCTTATTTGCTTTTTGAATGCTGCAGATTTCCCCACAAGTAATTGCTTCCAGTCTACTTTGGCCAGAACCGGCCTTATTTGTATAAGATCTACTTGCCCCCAATCCAAAAACTTTTCTTCAGACTGTCTCTTTCCTTTTCCGTAATAAACTTAAATCATACTGTGTTGTGACCATTATCAATAAAATTCTTCCCCACTGCCACCTTGACCAACAGCCTGGGCTTGTTCCCCAGAATGAAGCCAGCACTGCACCTTTCCTTGTCGGACCTTCTCTTTGAAATGCTGTTGTGAAAGTATAGCATTTGACAGAGTTTATAGAAAATCTGCTGAAAGTTAGATTAGCCCCTTAGTAAAATAAAGACAGCTCCTGACAATCTGTGCCAACAAAATACTTTTGAGATAAAAATGGGATCTTCTGTACTCTGTAAAGTACACTGAACATACACTGCATTGTTGAAATGAAGTTAACTCAATGCTGGGGGCCGTGGGTTTGGGTTTTTTCTTGTTTTATTGAAGCAGCTCTTTTCAGGAGGTGCTTATATAAAAGGGGTGGCACAGTGGCACAGTGGTTAGCATTGCTGCCCCACAGCACCAGGGACCCGGGTTTGATTCCACCCTTGGGCAACTGTCTGTGTGGAGTTTGCACATTCTCCTCGTGGGTTTCGTCCGGGTGCCCTGGTTTCCTCCCACAGTCCAAAGATGTGCAGGCTAGGTGGATCGGCCATGCTAAATTGCCCATAGTGTTCAGGAATGTGAAGATTAGGTGGGTTTACAGGGGAATGGGTGTGGGTGCGATGCTCTGTGGATTGGTGTGGACTTGTTGGGGCAAAGGGCCTGTTTCCACACTGTAGGGATTCTATAAAAAAAAATTTGGCTTGTAGGCATGACCCATTGACTGAGCAGGAACAACTTGTGAATCTGATCATCTTCATTTTTATGTTGACATTCAAAATGCATTGGCACACTCACTGCACCAAGATATATTTTGAATCCTTCTGAGAGTGCCATGGGTGGAGTCAGATTCAGTCATGGTATACTGAAGGGAATTGGGTCATTATCTGAAAAGCAAATATTTGCAAGGTATTGGGAGACTGGTGAGGGTGAGGGGGCTCCAAATTACCCTTGCAGAGAGCCAGCATAGTCACAATGGCTTTTCTTCTGTGCCTTAGCTATTCTACGATAAGAATTTTGAGAAATGAAGTCACTAGTGTTAAGGAACGGTTCAACAAGGCATTTTACAAGCACTTACTTGTTCTGGCGATGGAGGTTTAGTAAGGAGACTGATGATGACCACTATAATAAACGTAAGGAGACAGAGGATGAGAGAAAAGTACAGGAAATGAATGTTTCTGACAACCATCGGCCGTGTATCAGGTTTGCCACATGCTGGCGGGGTGTAAATGAGATCCAAAATCATCCGGGTAATGCCTGTACACATGCCCACAGCAAGGCCCCAGAATGCAGCCTGTGCAGAAAAGTCAGATATTAGCAACTTAGTTCAGTAAACACCAAATGAGATATTCACATGTAAACTACTACAGGAGGTTTTAAAACATCAGGAGTTTGGGAAATAACACCAAGGCTTTGATCAGTGACAGAGTTTCTAACGCAGAAATTGTTAGAACATTCAGCAGATCTAACAGCATCTCTGGAGAGAGGAATGGAGTGAATGTTTGAGGTGGATGGCCTTTAATGAGAACAGGAATCCAGTGTCCACAGTAATTTGCTTTTCTAAGTGCACAGACTGGCTGAGATAGATAGTTTATGGTCAATTTTCATCCCTTATGTTAGAACTATTTCCTCATTGGAGATGCTAGTAGACAATCTCCTGAGACCCTCTTCCTCATATAACAGCTACAAAGGTGAATGTTGGAATCTTCAAATGCGATACTGGATTTGTTCTCTAATACCATCAAGATTGGGACAGAAATGGATATTAATGCTAAAGGTGAAGATGAGTGCTGTTGTTGTAAGGAGGCACCATACCACTTTACTGGAAGAATTGTTAAATTGAGTTTGAAAATTAATTTTTTCTCCTGCTGCTGAAGCTGTTGATCTATTTGATCTAAACGTTCCAAATACATTGAATATCATTCAGTTTTCATGTTGGAGCCAAAAGGGGAAGTATTGGCTTGACTACAGAAAGCATCACAGTTAATCCCAATCTTTATCATGAGCACTTGTTTAAAACCAGGGTATTGAGATATATCTCAGGAACACAGCCTTTACTTGGTCCCTTCCTTAAGTATGATGCAGACACCTAAAAGCAGCTCTATTGCTGCCCTTTCCGACCATCTGAGTTTGTCACTGTAATGTTGCAACCAGAATCTAATATAATCACAGAAGCATGTAATTGTTCAAACGCAGAATGAAGCCATTCAGCTGAGTGTGCCTTCACATGAGCATCTCCCCCTCTGCAAATTCTTCCTTTTCAAATAACAATCCAATTCCCTCTAACTGTTTCGTTTGGAACTGCCTCCAGCACACTCAGGAAGTATGTACCAGACTATAATCATTTGTTGCACGAATTTGTCCTCATTATCATTTATTCTCATATTGCTTTTGCTTCTTTTACTAACTATGTTAAATTTGAGCATTCTCATTCTTGATATAGTCACAAAATATTTCCCTCTTTACACTGATTTTGAATATGTTAATCAGATCGCTTCTCAGCCTTTCTTTTCCCAAGAAAACAATCTCAACTTCTCCAATTTATTGTCAAAACTAAACGTACTGATTGCTGGAACCATTCTCATCAATCTCCTCTGCACTGTTACCTATTGACTGTCAGTCATTATTTAACTTGGGCATTTGCTAAACTATGCTGCTATCGGTCCTAGTCCACTTGTCAATCAATCAGCACTCTCTCCTCATACAGTATTAAATGTTGTTGCCCTTGGCATTAGTTATTTCTGTACTCTCCTCCTGAAATGTCGCTTTAACCCCTCCAACAACTCTGGCCTGTTGAGCATCCCAGATTTTAATCACTCCACCAATGACAGCAATGCTTTCAGCACACTTAGATTCCAAATTCTGGAATTCCCTTCTAAAACCTTTCCAGTTCTCTCTCTGTCCTCCTTTATGTTTCTTTAAATCAACATTATTGATCACATTTTTGGCCATCTGGTCAATATTACCTTATAAAATTCAGTGACTTGTCTGATATTGCACCTGTGAAGTATGTCATAAATGTTGCTGTGTTAATGTGCTATATAAATGCAAACAACGGAGTTGCAGGTAGACAGGATAGTGAAGAAGGTGTTTGGTACGCTTGCCTTTATCGGTCAGTGCATTGAGTACAGGAGGTGGGAGCTCATGTTGCGGCTGTACAGGACATTGGTTAGGCCACTTTTAGAATATTGTGTACGATTCTGATCTCCCTGCTGTAGGAAAGATGTTGTTAAACTTGAAATGGTGCAGGAAAGATTTACAAAGATGTTGTTAGGGTTGGAGAGTTTGAGCTATATGCCATATGGAGAGGCTGAAGAGGCTGAAGAGGCTGGGGCTATTTTCCCTGGAGCATCGGAGGAACCTGAGGGGTGATGTTATAGAGGTTTATAAAATCATGAGAGGCATTGATAGGGTGAATAGCCAAGGTCTTTTTCCCAGGGTGGGGGAGTCCAAAACCAGAGGACATAGGTTTAAAGTGAGAAGGGAAACATATAAAAGGGACCCAAGGGGCAACTTTTTCACGCAGAGGGTGGTGCATGTTTGGAATGAGCTGCCAGAGGAGGTGGTGGAAGCTAGTACAATTACACATTTAAAAGGCATCTGGATGTGTACATGAACAGGAAGGGTTTGGAGAGATAAGGGCCAAATGCTGGCAAATGGGACGAGATTTATGTAGGGTATCTGGTTGGCATGGAGAAGTTGAACCGAAGGGTCTGTTTCCGTGCTGTATATCTCTACGACTCTATGATTCTATTGCTGTTTCTTCTGAAGTAACAGTTCGATGGATAGACCATGCAGTCCAGATGTCCTTCTGCATTGCAGGGTTTTCATGGCCATTTATACTCTTCAGTGTTGAATCACTGTTGTGAATCTTGTTGTCTCTGAGGGGTAAACAGATGTGTTCTGTCATTAAGAATGTACTGGTGTGTATCTTGGTTGGGAGAAATTGTGGCAATTGATTTGATGGTTATCCATCAAGCTTCAGCTTGCAAATAATGGCCCACTATAGGTTTTCCTTATTGCCACAGGAGAAGGAAGAGACAGTGTAAAATAAGTGGTGCCTACAAACATACGGTGGGAGCAAAAGTAGGCCGTTTGAACCTTCAGCCTGCTCCACTATTCCATTTGAACACGGCTCTTTGATTGTGGTTTCAACTCCACACTCCCATCTTTCTCTGATAACCCGTGATTTAAAAAAAATTTTAAAATGAGAACAAGAACAAAGAAAGGGACTGATTGTCCACACATTATTTAGGTAGAAAATCCAGCCAGCAGACAGTTCATGAAGCACATGGGATCCTGGGCTGGCTTTATAAGTTTGAGAGTATGGTACGAAAGCCAGGAAGTTATGCTACAGCTAATTAATAGTTTGGTCCCAGCCTACAGGAAGGAAGTGAAGATTCTGGAAAAGTTACAGAAAGAATTTACTAGTTCCAGAGATGAGGGATTACAGATAAATAGATGTACTCGAGAAGCTGTATTTGTTCTCCATAGAGCAGAGAAGGCTAAGAGGAGATTTCGTAGTGGAGTTGAAAACCATGAATAATTTTAGTGTAACTAATAAGAAACAAATTCCAATGCTGAAGGTGGTTGATAATCAGAGAGCACAGCTTTAAGATGATAGGCAAAAGAAACTGAGACAACATGAGAATGAACTGTCTCCTGCTGACCACAAGTAAATCTGCTGGGATCAGCCTCCCTTCCTGCATTCTGACAGGTCTCCTCTCTCAGAGGGGCACTTGACCCCTGTCTGACCATTTCTTCTGCATCACACACCTTTGCTAAATGCCCTCCCCCCTTTCTCATTATTTATCCTCCCTCTGCTCCGGTCCCTCTTTGTACATAATACTTCGCAATCTGACTGCCTTGTGTCTAAGATATAAAGTAAAAAATTCAGTTGAGATTCTGATATTGAATTTTGCAGGCCCTCCCCAACTTCCAGCCCAGTCCCTTCCAGTAAATATCTGGAGCATGGTGTCTACTGTCAGGTGAAATATCATTAGCTTCAGAGATCCAACCACATTGAAGCTAGTAAGTTTCAATCAGACTTTGCGGCTCAGATGTTAACCTTGTCTATGATGCAGTAGAGTCATAGAGTCATACGGCATGGAAACAGACCCTTCAGTCCAACTAGTCCATGCCAATCAAGTTTCTCAAACTAAACTCGTCCCATTTGCCTACATTTGGCCCACATCCCTCTAAACCTTTCTTATTCATGTACCTATCCAAATGTCTTTTAAATGTTGTAAATATATGTGCATCTACCACCTCTTCTGGCAGTTCATTCCACATATGAACCACCCTCTGTGTGAAAAAGTTGCCCCTCAGGTCCCTTTTAAATCTTTCTCCTCTCACCTTAAAAATATACCCCCTAGTTTTGAACTCCCCCACCCTAGGGAAAAGACCTTTGCTATTCACCTTATCTAAGCTCGTCATGATTTTTTAAACCTCTATAAGGTCACCCCTCCTATACTCCAGTGAAAATGGTCCCAGCCTTTCCAGCCTCTCCTTATAACTCAAACCCTCCAGTCCCAGAAACAATTAGGGGAGGCAAAGACCTATTGCTAGACTGTTAATTCAGCGACCAAGATAACATTCTGGGTTCGAAACTTGTCATGGCAGATGGTAGAATTTGAATTCGATTTTTAAAAAAATCTAGAATTAAGAATCTAGTAATAACCATGAATTCATTGACAAATGTTGGAAAAAACCCATCTGATTCACTAATGCCCTTTAGGGAAGGAAACTGCCATCCTTACCTAGTCTGGCCTACATGTGACTCCAGACCCACAGCAATGTGGTTGAATCTCAACTGCCTTCTAGGCAACTGGGATGGGCAATAGATGTTGTCTAAAAGCAACACCCTCATCCCATGAATGAATAAACAAAAAAGCATCCTGGTAAATCTTTTTTGAACCTTCTCCAATTTACTGATATCCTTCCGATAGCAGGGCAACCAGAATTGTACATAGTACTCCAAAAGCGGCCTCACCAACATCCTGTATAACCTCAACTTGGTCTCCCAACTCCTGTACTCAATGGTCTGAGCAATGAAGGCAAGCATGCTAAACGCCTTCTTAACCACCCTGCCTACCTGTGATGCAATTTTCAAAGAACTAAGTATCTGAACCTCACAGTGAACTAAATTCTGCTCATTGTGTGGGATCCTTAACAGAGCTACCAAAATAATCCAAGTCTCCTGTTCATTCTCCATAGCCTGCAAATTCTTCCTTTTTAGGTATGTATAGAATTCTGCTTTCAAAATTACTACTGAATCTGCTTCCACCACAAATTTAGGTATTACACCTGAGATCATAACAATTCACTATTGAGAATAAAGTTCTCTTTTCCACCCTGGTTCTTTTTGCTAATTATCTTAAACCCAGCTCCTCTAGTTATTGACTGTCGTGCCAGTGGAAACAGTTTCTGCCTACCTATTCAATCAAATCACTTCACCATTTTGCCATCTCTACTTCATTTCCCCTTAACTCAGTATGCCATAAGGAAAACAATCCCAGACTTTCTTGTTTTCCCAAGTAACTGAGGTTCACTATCCCTCGTTCAGTTCTGAATAATCTCTGTATCCTCTCTAATGAATAGTCAGAGATGGTTATTCCCATTGGTCTTGCATTATTAGCTAATTTAGGCCAGACTGAAAATTAATCCTGGGACAAACTAGTCTGAAAACAATTTTACCAATTCAGGTATTTGGAAGGCTGTAAAGCAACCCTTAAACGGAACTATTCACCTTTTCACTAGTTCGTTTCCAAAAGCAGCCCACTATAAAGATCACTGCAATTGGTGGTGTCAGGTTGGAGGTGATTGACTGGATGTATATGAAGAGCTGTCCACCTTGGCTTGTTTGCACCAGAGGAATCCACAAAACAGACACCACCACCAGAACCAGCACAAACAATCTGAAACAAATTGAAAATCACATTTAGCAACGGCACAGGAGCTTCATTTCTGTTGAATTTGATTTCCACCAGAATTCTGAATTTTCTTGGGTTACAGTTCCTGCAGTATCTTGTTCAAGTGGCCATTCTTTGTAACAGTGAGGTAATGACTAACAACAGGTTATTGGGTATGATATGCTACACGGAGAAACTTCACATGGACAACAATAAAGAGCAGGAATCCCCAAACTCTAGATCAAGTCCTGTGCAGCATACAATCTGCCACCTCATGGAGAAAGTTTAGCATTTTCCCATTGCTGGACTGGTTCAGCAGAACGAATGCTATTCAATCATTGAGACGAGATTGGGTCTATCAAAAAATAATCCAATTGGTCGTAGTTCCCCATTCTTTCTCCATATGCCCTCAATTTTATTGCTTTTCAGTATTTATCCAACTCCTTTATGAAGGTTGCTATTAAATCTGTATTGGCCATCCTATCAAACAGTGCATTTCCAATGCTAACTACTCATTTCTTGAAAATGTTTTTAGTTATGCATTTCCTTATACTACCTCTGATTCTTTTACCAAAGGAGTTAAATTTATGTACTCTCATTAACATTTCAGTAACTGGAGGCATTTCAGGCTGGATGTCCAGGACAGGTAGCTAAACTCAACAGAACTGCTTTGATTTAAAGGGCCCATTAGACTCAGTTTTCACTCGTTTAGTACTTGGTCCCTTTAAGGACAAGTGCTGAGGGAGGAGTCATGTGACTTGCTAGTCCAATCAGGGTTGGAGAGGGGAATATGCATGAGGCATGTGGGGACTTGCCCAGCAGTTGAAGTGGGGAGCTAGGTGCGTAAAGAACATGTAATATACCCTGTAAATAATTGTTATTAGTTTGTATCAAATCATTGTATCTTAACAGGCCCAGCCAAGCTTTGAAGTTATTACATTGACAACAAGGTCAAGGCCAGCAACTCGAATTGCCAAAAAAATGGTCAGTCAGGTCCAGCTTGTGAAGAAAATTGCAGTCAAGTGCCTCTTTTTGGAAAATTTGAGCAGTTTATTCCAACTAAAGAAGATTGAGTATAGTGTGTCAAATTCTTCAAACTCTTTTATCTGTGTGAGTGAAATAGAGGGAGTGAAGAAACGAAGGGTGAAGTTATTACACAGGAGGGCTGGTAGGAAGGTTTTAGACTTTGGAAATAAATCTTAGAAATTTGGAAGTTGTGGGTGAGGATTGTGGGTGGTGGAGTAAAACTGAGTCTGGCTCAGTGGAATATCTGCCTCAACTCTTTTCATTTATTCTTTCATGGAATGTGGGCTTCGCTGGCAGGCCAGCATTTATTGCACATCACTGGTTACCCTGGAGATCATTGATGAAGCAGCTAAAGATGTTTGGTCGTAGGGCACTGACCTGAGGAACTCCTGCAGAGATGTCCTAGAGCTGAGATGACTGACCTCCGACAATGACCTTGTTCCTATGTGTCAGGTCTGACTCCAACCAGTGGAGAGTTTGGCCCCTGATACCCATTGATTCCAGTTTTGCTAGGGCTCGATGATGCCGCACTCGGGTCAAATGCAGCCTTGTTCTCAAGGGCAGTCACTGACCTCATGTCTGGAATTCAGCTCTTTTGTCCATGTTTGAACCAAGGCTGCAATGAGATCAGGAACTGAATGGCCCTGGTGGAACCCAAACTGGGCAACCCTGAGCAGGTGCTGCTTGATAGCACTGTTGATGACACCTTCCATCACTTTACTGATGATCGAGAGGAGACTGATGGGGCAGTAACTGGCCGGGTTGGATTTGTCCTGCTTTTTACGTACAGGACATACTTGGGCAATTTTCCATAATGTTAGGTAGGTGCTACTGTTGTAACTGTACTGGAACAGCTTGGCTAGGGGAGCAGCAAGTTCTGTAGCACACATGTTCAGTACTATTGCCAGAATGTTGTCAGGGCCCACAGCTCTTGCAGTATCCAGTGCCTCCAACTGTTTCTTGATATCACATGGAGTGAATCGAATTGGCTGAAGACAGGTATCTGTAATGCTGGGGAGCACTGGAGGAGGCCGAGATGGATCATCCACTTGGCACTTCTGGCTGAAGATTGTGGTGAATGCTTAAGCCCTACCTTTTGCAATGATATGCTGAGCTCTTCCATCATTGAACATGGGGCTTTTTGTGGACCCTCCTCCATTGAGTTATTTAATTATCCAGCACTATTCATGACTCGATGTGGAAGGACTGCAGAGCTTAGATATGATCCATTGTTCGTGGGATCACTTAGCTCCGTCTATCACTTACTGTTTATGCTGTTTGGCATGCAAATAGTCCCCTTTGGTAGCTTCACCAGGTTGACACCTCATTTTTAAGTATATCTGGTGCTGCTCCTGGCATGCCGTCCTGAAAACTCCTTTGAACTAAGGTTGATCTCTTGGCTTGATGGTAATAGTTGCGTGGGGCATATGCCATGAGATTACAGATTGTGCTGGAGTACGATTCTACTGCTGTTGATGGCCCACAGTGCCTCATGGATGCCCAGTCATGAGTTGCGAGATCTGTTCAAAGTCTGTCCCATTTAGAACAGTGATAGTGCCATATAACACGATGGAGGGTATTCTTAATGTGACCCAGATTAATTCACCCAGAATTCCAAATCTTACTGCTGACCTGATTCACCCAGGTACTGGCTTACATTGTCTCTATTGCGTTTATAAAGCCTTGTTTCCAAATCCCTGCAAGGCCTTGCCTTTCCATATCTTTGTAATCTCCTGCAGTCCTACAGCATACATTCAACTCTGGCTTCTCTGATAGCAACTCCAACATCATTGGCATCTGAGATGACATAGCCCTAAGATTCTGAAATTACCACCCTCAACCTTCCAGCCTCTCTCTTCCTTTAAGACACTCCTTAAAGACAATATGTTTAACCAAGCTTTTGATCTTTTTATGTCCAAAAATCTCCTTATCTGACCCAAGAATCACGTTTCTTTGCTAATGCTCTTCTGAAGCACTTTAGTTAATTTGACTGCATTAATTATGGGATATGGACATCGCTGGCTGGCCAGCATTTATTGTCCATTCCTAGTTGCCCTCGCGAAGGTGGTGAGCTGCCTTCTTGAACCGCTGTAGTCCACCTGCTGTGGGTTGACCCACAATGCTTTTAGGGAGGGAATTCCAGTGCCCAGCGACTGTCAAATTGCCTTGAATGTGATACAGTAAAAATTAACTAGATTGGTTCCTGGGATGAGAGGATTGTCCTATAATAAATGGTTGAGTAAATTGGGCCTACGTACAAGATTCTGAAAGAATTTGACATCGAGAAGAGTCTTCCTGTGGCTAGGAAATCTGAAACACAGGAGAAAGGTGTCATAATAAGGGGTCAATCACTTAGGATTGAGATGAGGAGAAATTTCTTCGTTCAGAGGTTTGTGAACCTTTGGTATTCTCTATCTCAGACATTTCCAAATGCTCCATCATTGAGCATATTTAAGGCTGACTGATTAATATTTAGTCTTGCAGAGCCAAGTGTTATGAGGAACGTACAGGAAAATGAACAGATGTAAATGGTGGAGCAGACACAAGGGACCATTGGTATATTCCTGCTGCTATTTCTCATGTTCATTTGTAACTAAAATGCAGCAGTAGTATTTCTGTTTGTTTTTAACTAATTCAAATTAGTCAGCTCTATATTGTCCTACCTGCCAACAATCATGAGCTCCCACTCAGTGCAGCGAGGTCGGATGTGGTGCCAGACGTCCATTGTAAATAATGTACTCGCACTGTTGAAAATTGAAGTGAGGGAGGACATGACAGCAGCAATCATTACAGACATCATAAGGCCTCGCAGTCCTGCAGTGGAACAGAAGTTGGTCATACTCGGCAGTGACTGCGTTACAGGATGTGATTTCTTGTGTCTTTAAAATACTTTATGATGAGTGACCCCAGGAGCAAATTTTTGCTGCTTTTTAGCCCATATTAATACAAGCCTCGCACCAAACGTTTGTTATTCTTACTACAAATAAAACCATACCTCCCCAGTTTCCCAAGGATTCTTGAAAATGTGAGAGTCAAATATTGCCATGTTGCTATGAGGGAGGGTGCATTGGAATAGTTTACTATTTTTGGCTTGTTTTATCTGATGTATAATGTGTAATTTTAATTCAGTTTGACAGTGATTTGCTTGTGAATTCATGTTTGATATATTTTGATTTTGGTCTGATTGTCAAAGGTTATCAAAAGGTGAAATGTTTGCACTGATCTTCCATTGTGGTAATTTGGTAAATCTGATTCTTTTGGCTTGTGGATCATAATAGAGATTGCTCAGCATGTAATCCTCTGCAAGTGTGGAAGATACAGAACATGTTTTACTATTTCTTCATCCCTTTAACTTGTGAATTTTACCAGAAGGGATTATGATTAGTCTGGATAGAGTGAACATAAGAGAAGATGTTTCCACTAGGAGAGACTAGGACCCAATGGAGATGAGGAGCAATTTCTTCAGTCAGTGAGTAATGAATGTGTGGAACCATTGCCACAGAAGGCTGTGGATGCCAAGTCAATGAGTGTATTTAAGGCAGGGATAGATAGGTTCTCAGGATCAAAGGTTATGGGAAGAAAGCAGGAGAATGGGGATGAGAAATATATCAGCCATGATCGAATAGCAGAGCAGGCTTGATGGCCAAATGGCCTAATTCTGTTCCTATATCTTATGGTCTCATGGAGAAGAGAGTGAATGAGCTGCACGAAGAATACCAAAAATGAGATGTCATCCTGGAGAAGCTACAAACGCTGGGCTGCATGTATCCTAAACAGAGGAAGCAGCATGATATCGACAGAGCTAAACAATATAACAAAAGGGTCTGATCATAGCTCCACAGGCTTGCTTTCTCCAATTGTAAATGATTGTGGATAATTATACAATTAATACAATAAACATTTGATTCTTTGATAATGACAGAAATCAGAATCTGAAGACTGTGAAGACCACATTTTCGTTTTTCTTTCAGACTGTGGACTAAAAATGGGAAAAGATACAGTTTTAAACCAAGGAAAACACACTGCACGGGTATTCAACTGAATGGCCATGTCGGAAGGTGCGTGAGGTCTTGTCCTAAGTTCAGTCAAGAGGGAGGCAGCCGTCTGTCAGGAAGTCCAGGTATCATCAGTCACTGGCACAGTTTACACTCAATACAGAGGCTTTTCCACAGCCGCACATCCAGTCGGACGACACAAACAGCAGATATGCCTAACAACATTCTGGCAAGTGGGCATCAGTCTGTGCTGTAGGACCATCACAAGCAGCCAGGGAAATTGTCTATCATCTGTCAGGGAATGGCAAATACAGTGGTCAGGGGTTTGGTCAGTAATGTTGAAGGATTGTTCGTCAGTTAGCCAGAGGCAAATGCAGTCCATCCATTGGTCATTGAGGTGACACAAAGAAGGCCTACTGGGGCAGCACAGAGACCACTGCCAGAGGGCTGAGCTAGTCAAGCCTGGGGGGCCAAAAGCAGAATCGTTTGAATAGAAGGGAACAAGGATGGTGATGGCAGAGGGTAACCCAAGGTGCATGAGTATTTCTTTTTCTTTATTCATTCATGGAATGAGGGCATCGCTGGCTAGGCAGCATTTATTGCCCATCCCTAATTGCCCAGAGGGCGGTTACGAGTCAACCACATTGCTGTGGGTCTGAAGTCACATGTAGACCAGACCCAGGTAAGAATGGCAGTTTCCTTCCCTAAAGGGCATTAGTGAACCAGATGGGTTTTCCCAACAATCAACAATGGATTCCTGGTCATCATTAGACTCTTAGTTCCAGATATTTATTGAATTCAAATTGTACCACCTGCCGTGGCGGGATTCCAACTCGGATCCCCAGAACATTATCTGAGTCTCTGGATTAACAGTCCAGCAATACACCACTAGGCCATCGCCTCCCCATGCAGAACAGCACTGGAGAGTATGGGAGGCTACTGGAGAAGGGACTATTGGCAATGACCACCACCACGGCCTCCACAGGGGAAGCATAGAGGATCAGGGTGGGTATGATTAAGGTGTAATGCTGGAGTTCTGGAGGCAGAATGACGTTTTGGAGCAAAATTCAATATGGTGGGTCTCCACTCTGATGGAAGCCAGAAAATGACAGGGCACTGAGAAAGTCCTTCCCTGGGCATGGGAACCTCCTATTTTTAAAGGGTGTGATTGTGGGTGGGAGTTTGTGCATGTGCTGTTCATTGAGGCAGCTTTTTAAATGATCAGCTGGCTCCTTTCAAATTAGCTTCTGACAATCCTTTAGTGTGGAACCTCAAGTCTGCAAAAACAGGGATATGTTGTTTGGGGAAAGTGCGGGTGTGTTCAGGGCATAGGTGGTATAAGGGGTACATTGGGGTGCAGTGGAACATATGTAGGTTATGAGGGGTGAGTTCAGGTGATTATGCGGCCTGGAGGGAATAGGATTTATAACGATAGGGCATTAGATGGCATGGTGGGTATGGCAGGCAGTGGAATGGATAGGTGGCATTGTGAGGATGAGGTGAGGTAGGGTTGAGTAAACTGTCAACAGATGGCAAAAGTTATGATGCTCAGTATGTATGTGGGAGGGAGATATAATGAGGGATGAGTACACGAAGGCTGTTTTTGGTTTCATTAGTGGGCAACAAGAAATTATTTCATTTGGCCAAGAATAGAGAAGCAGAATATATTTTAAAAGGTGTGAAAATTATAGATATTGGAGTTTAGAGAGATTTGAGTATACTATTACAAGAATATGTTATTATGAAGTACAAAAGGCAATTCAGAAGTCAAGTGATGTGATGTCTTTTATTACAGGGGAGTTGAATGACAGTAATGAAAATGTCATACACAATACACTGAACTGTGGTGAGAGCAGACCTGGAATACCATGTGCAGCCTTTGTCTCTATTTTTAAGGAAGGCTATTGGAAATTGGAAACTATAACTTTGGAGGGCTGGAAGGGTTGAAAAAGGAAGGATGGGCTTTGTGGTGGTGTCATACTAAAGCTGGTGGAAATGGTGGCTGATAATTCATTGAAAACAAAGGCTGATGGATGTAAGGTGAGAACCCTATCATTGTTCTGGGAGGAAAGAAAATGCAGAAATGCTGGGAATCGGATGGACCCAACCGAGGGCCCTGTCAACCAGGTTGGGGGCATAGTCGGATGAGAGGAAAGGAATATCTGAATCATTGGTATGGCTTCTCAAATCATCTGAACAGATATGACAGGAATGGGGAAGCTGGGAGAATGGAATGGAATTCTACTGGAAACAATGTGGGTGGAGTGGTAGCCACGGTAGTTGAAGCAGTCAGTGCCCTTGTGAATATTTTTTGAAAGGTTAGTAAATGGAGACACAGAAATTGAGGAAAGGAAGGGATAAGTCAAAGAGCATGTGATGAGGCATGAGATGATTATAGATAGGTAGCAATTTGAAGGAAACTTGACGAAATTTCCTAGTACAGGACAAGAGTACAAATTGACCCCAATACAGACATGAATGTACTGGAACAAAAGTAAAGAAGAGAACGAGAGAAAGACTGGAATAAACAATGTTTCAGAAATCTCAGAAAGGAATAGCCGGGAGATCGTAGAATCTCTACAGTGTGGAAGCAGGTCATTTGGCCCATCGGGTCTGCACTGATCCTCCGAAGAGCATCCCATCCAGACCCACCCCCTGCCTTACCCCTGAGAGCCTGCATTTCCCATGGCTAACCAACCTAGCCTGCACATCCCTGGACACTGTGGGCAATTTAACATGGCCAATCCACCTAAACTGCACATCTTTAGACTGTGGGAGGAAACTGGAGCACCTGGAGGAAACTTATGCAGACAAGGGGAGAATGTGCAAACTCCACACAGTCAGATATGCAAGTGCCAAAATAACACCGATTTGGATGAAGTGAGGGGACTTAAAGGAGGTGTTTTATGTGAGGACAAGTGCAACCAGGGAGTGGTAGATGGAGACTGGTTTTGCCTCAATTCAAGGAAGAAACAGAGCGCCCTTGTGGATGCAGGAGGTATAATTATTTGGACACCCTGTGATTAACAGGAAGCTGGACGTGTCAGGAAATTGGGAGCTGTTAAAGTGTAAGAGTCTAAGTTTTGCTGGGTCCATTTAAGATGCTGCCAGCTTACAAGCTGCATTAATCATCAAGTTTCCTTCCTCAGGACAATGGCCTCCAAAGAGAAATAACAATGTTCTGTAGTACTGGGAGCCCACCTTGGCTATCTAATAACCTAGTGGCAGGGCATAACCAGTGGATCATGGTCACAGGCCAACCCACTTCCTGCATGAATTTGGCAATGACAAAAATGTTGACTAGTTTTTGTTTTTCTCTTTAAATTGACAAAGTACCTTGAGGTAGCAATTCCAATACTAATAACGGATAGGCGATGTCTGTACAAGCAATTGAGTTTCCACAAACTCGACGACAGGTATCCGGATCTGCACAAGCCACAAGATCTAAAACAAAAGTAAGAGATTGTGAGTTTTTGAAGATTAAATTCGTAATCAGTCTACTATCCTTTGCAAAATCACTTGAAGTTGCTATTAATGGCCTGTGAGATTATTCAACTTTCTGTCAGTAAAACTGTAGAGAGATGTCAGTTAATTTCTGAAAATGTCACATCTAGAGAAAATCTAAAGTTGTAATGGGGTTTACATCAGCTGAAAGAATTGAAGGAATCATTGGGTTAGTGCATAATTTGTAGAAAATCATTGCTATGAAAGTAAAGTAAGTTTTATAAAGTAGGACATCCTCAATTTGAACAAGGTATTTGTCACACTTTACATTATTCGCCCAAAGCGAACAGTGTCTAGTGAAATTAGAATTAAAGACAGAGATCCCAGCTGCTTCAATGGACCTGCCAATTTAGAAATAACTATACTGACAAGTCTGAACATAGGGATAATATTAGGCCATTCATCCCCTCAAGCCTATTCCACCTTTAATTAAATCATAGACAGTTTGTATCTTAATTGTATTCACTTGCTTTGTTCCAGAACTCTTTCTTTAGTAAAAATCTATCAATCTCGGATTTAAAATCATTCTCTGCACTGGCAACGCCAGTCTCTTGAAAAAGAGTTTCAAGTGTCTGTCTCAAATTGGGTGAAAGTGATTCCTAGCTTCCTAAATAGCCTTTCTTTATAGTCTATCATTATGTTCCCTTAACCTAGATTAAATCCTCTCTACGTTATAAATCTCTGGGTGGGACAGTCTGTGACAACACACCTTTCTGTGTGTTACTGCTAATTGAGGCCCTTAAGTAGCCAATTGGGACCACTTAAGGTTGTCAGCATACTGCTGTTGGGATTAACCCACTACAGGTTAGGACTACAGATATGCGGCATTTCCAGGAACAAAAGGAGTGTGGGCTCTTTAGACCTTGTACGAAATGAGGTGAAATGCTGACGACTTGATCAAAAGGCTGTCCTTGCCTAAATGAGGGTATGCACGTTGGGCAAGGGTGCCCACAGAGAACTATTTTCCTGCCCTTGCTTACAACCCACTTGCCCCTCTCCTATACCCTGGGGAAGTCTCCCCATCCACTTCCCTTGCATTTAAGGCAGAGGTAGATAGGTACTTGATAGATAGATGTAACTCCAGGGTGACTGTTCCAGCAGCAGCCATGGCCTCCTCTGTGGCACTGCCAAATGCAGAAACTGTCAGCCTCTCATTGGCCAGCCAATCCTGGTTGTTGCAAATTTTTGCCCCCTTGGAACCTCATTCCTGTAGAAAGTCTGCCAGTGTTCTCAGAACTGCCTCGTTGGCAGAAGATTTGACAGGCCTTCCTTAGAAAAAATATTGTGCATCTCTCACTGCCAACGGAATGTTCTATTTCTGGTTTATAATGTGGGTTTTGCCTCCAGCAAGGCATTTTAACTGACGTGGCAATGCTTATGTTTGTCATCGTAAGGCAGGGTTACCAAGGTATTGAAGTATTGAACAAATATAACTAATACATACCAACATTGGATTCCAATTGAGCTGCAACGAGTAGCATTCTTCCAATAGTATGCTGTTTTAAGGGGTAAGATGGAGGATGAGACTTTGATACCCACAAGTCACATGCTATGATACAATGATAATATCATGAGCACGTTTGTTAAAGATATACTGCCATATACAGACAGCTGTCTGTACTCACCAAGACTGATACCGCTGATTGTCTGAATTCTCTACTGTCCAGAGATGTTATTCGTTTGCTCTGCAATTAGTTTTCAAAACGTTGACCATTGAGATCTTGGTGTTTTTTTTTATAGATGACAAGTACAGCTAACTAGGATATATATTTGCCTCTAGTAGGGTATTTTACATGTTGTAATGTTTATGTTATCATACATAATATGAGAAATTAGACATAAGATGTTGTGGTGTCAACAAATTCAACAGACAGTAATTGCAATTAACTGTTATATGCAAACGTAAGATTACAACAGAGGAGAATGCTTCCAGTAGCTTGTCATGCTTCCAGTGATTGAGGGTAAGATGGAGTATGAGACATTTAAACCCTCAGGTCACATACTTTGATATAGTGAAGATATCATGAGCGTGGTCTTAAAGGTCTGTTGTCATACCAACTGAGATATAGCACAATAGTATAAGTAACCTTTCCTCACAATCTAGCCCTTGGACCACTCATAACATTCTGGTCAATCTGTGCAATGGTGCTTCCAAAACCAATTTTTTTTTTAATCGGGCTCTGAAACTGAGCTGCATACAGTACAGTACTTTAGATGTATGAGCTGTGTGCAACACTGATAATGGCTGAAGGAATATGGTTCTAAATTAAAGTTTTTCAGGTATTAGCAATGGAGACCTCCAGTGATGACAATGATTCAGCCAAGGAATAGGTGGAATCTCTTTTAACAGAGTTAAAATTGGTTCATGCCAAAGACCTAATATCAATGAAGGATGTAATCATCCTTCATTTAGCAAAGCGCTGCTTGAACCTCGATACGCTGCAGGGTATATAATTTTCAAGGATTAACAATTGATTAATAAATTCTGTGAAGCAGTCTTTTACTAATGCAAAAATCAAAGTAATGAAACTGACTTTCCAACTCAGATTTATGGAGCAGTAAATAAAAAGAACACATTTTTCATTCTTGTCTTCATTAATATTAGGACCTAAGCTTTAACAACAGGCAACATGTACTTACTGGGAAAAAGGATTCGGCTGATCATGCCTGGGAACACCATAATGAAAATAGGCAAGATTTTCAAGTAGGCTGCAAATATGGTGCCACCCTTGGCATGAAGAATTGATTTGGCAGAAAGTGTCCTTTGCACAATGACCTGAAATTAGTACAAGGTGTGTATAATTCATTTGGATGTTACTAAATTCCCAATTTTGTGTTTAAAAAAAACCCATTGAAACAAGCTATTCAAACCAGTTTATCTATTTATACTTCTTTAGAGTCTACTCTCTGCTTGTTTCAGTCCATTAACATCTTTTATTCCAATCTTGTAATTAAATAATTCTCCCTTAAATGTATCTGTGCTGTTTGCCACAATTTCTGCATAGATAGTATGTTTCATATTTTAATCACACTCTAGGATTGGATTTTACATTCCCCTGTCAATAGGCTGTAAATTCGAAAGGGTGAAATGCCCACCCCTCCTATCTGAGCAGCCTGAATCTGCCTGAAATGTTACCAGAATAGGGTTGAGCTGCAAGCTGCCACCACTCCTTGTGCCCATTGAGGCTAATCAATGACCAGTTAAGGGTCTCAGCCTATCTCTGCCAAAATTTTACCTAATTACAAGGGAAGACTCATGCCAATTGGGCAGCCATGTAGCTTTAACTGTGCAGACTTGTGTTGGGCACGTTGAGAGAACCTCCTTTGTGGGTCCTCTGTGCCCACTGGAGGCACACACCCCAATAATGTAAAGACTGTGGCTCTAACTCACTCATCGTCATTGCTGGATCTGCCAGCCTGGACCTGGCAACACCCCAGACTTAATTTGAGTATGAGCTCCTCTTTGCCAGGACTACTTAATAATAGCCATGCTCCCACCTGACATTGCTGGGACTACAGAACAACAGGACATGCTATTAGCTGGCAGTTCCCTAAGGAGGTGGGGACCCCTTCAGGGATGAAGCGGGAAGTCTTGCCTCACATTACTACCAACAGTGAATTATGAGGGGTAACTGCGTATGGTGAGCATACCTCTCACCCCCTGATATTTTATCTAGGCTGTCGGGGACCATGGAGCTCTGTAAAACCAAGCCCCAAATAAAAGGGTTTCTCCTGAATTCCTTACTGGATTTATTAGTGACTACTTCATATTCATGACTCCCTAGTTTTGGAGACCCATATGTATTATTTTACTTTTCATATATTTCACACGGCTGATGAACAGTTTCATGCTGAAATTTTATTCTACACACCATGTACCCAATCTGAATGCCTTAAAGTTAGGAGATAGCTTCACTTGGAGTGTAATACAGCCCTTGTTCAATTCCAACAGAATATTAAGTGCAAAGAGCTTGAAACAACATACCCTCTAAAATGTACGTCTGTGTGTGGCTGCACGGAAATTCTGAATGTACTATACGCTGAAAAAGGCTCATTGCTCACAAATTTGTCAGTTCATCTGGAAGCATTCCTGACATAAAATCCGTTGCAACCTTTATAATTGCACCCAAATTAAGTTGGAATTTCGTTCTAACAAATGAACAGGGTAGGCCAAACGAAGCAGGCTTTGAAAAGCTTCTCAGTGCCGAGTGTTGGTAAGCAAGCTTGGAGCCTTTTTCCATGTTAAAATTCTATGGAATTGTTTAAATCAGGTGGTGTACCTGCAGAAAGGGAGTATGAATGATTTCAGACAAATAGAATTTCTACGTGTAAAATTCTTAGTAGCTTCAGAGTCTTCTAACCATGATTTCTATGTGTGTCAGATGTCCAGCTGATCAAAAAGCAATGACACCAAGAGTGTTTGAACTTTACATGAAGAGTGCACATACATAAATGTGTGTTACCTGATCTGTGCACCAATACCAAGTAGAAAGTACAGTTATTCCAAATAATACACCTGGCCAGGGAAAGTCAGAACTAATAGGATCCCGAAAAATGTGAAAGGTGTCCTCTCTTGGTAGGCCGCAGGTTGAGTTAGGTTGATGGATAGTGGGGATGGCTGTAAAGAATTTCTTCTTGAGTCCCACATAGCCATCGACACGTTTAAAAGCTATAAAACATAGACTTAATTTACTGAACAAATCATTTGGCACACTAGTCATATTGTACTGTACACAACCAGCTGTATGTTATTGGGTATTCAGAAGCACTTTCAAAATTATTATTCCTTTGAAATCATTTCTAACACACAATTTTGACGAGAAGTTTTGTTTTGTATGAAAATCATGCTTTCGTAAAATGTTCTTTTTACCCTGTTTTTAAACTTTTCCTCGTTTCCCGATCCATCAGCTCCCATCCTCTCCACTTTACATTCTCCCTTCTCTGTTCCTCAAGTCAATGAGATGAACAAGGAATTGGTTCTCCCCTTAAAATTGAATTTGAGTTGGGAGCTGACTCTGAGGGGAATCACTGGTGTGAATTCATGATATACATAATCATGCAATGGTGGAAGATGTGTCTGTGCTAGGACACGTAGCATTTTCTATTCAACTTGCCCATTTTTACACCTTTCAAAATACACACACAACCTATGTACAATTTTCCCTGCACCTTCTGTCTTTTCACACAGGGGTCAGATTCAAATTGTATTTTTTGAGTCAGGTTGGAGGAAGTGAGGAGTGTGAATACGGAGGCAAGCCTATGTTCTCTAACGTGACTCCAGATCAGCTCCCAAAATTGTTTAAAGGCCCCCAAACATCTTCCAACAATCACCCCTCTTCAGATCATTACGCCATCTCATACCAAACTATCCTCATATCACCCCACATCCCGTCACTCTGTCCCCATTCCCCATGTCATCCCAATAGCCCTGAGGTCACATGTGCCATTTGATTACTCCTTCACCCCCAAACAAAGGCAAACAAACTTGACTTGGAAAGAAACTGAAAAGAAATAGAAATGTGAAAACTTAAACTGAAATTTCAAAGAGAAAGAAATAGCAGAACGTTTGAATTGGATAGAGAAAAGCTTAGATTACACAAATGGGAAATGCTGCTATAACTTCAGGATGATTTTGGATTTAGTTCTAGTTTGGATTTGGCCATAAATATTCAAATCATGCCAATATTCAGTGAGATAGGTGTTGAAATGTATTTGGAATATTGAGAAAATTGCCATAATATTGCAGTGGCCAAGAGAAAATTGGACAGTTTTACTGCAGAGGGTGTTGGTGAGAAAAGTTGGGTGCTGAACTCTTTCAGGTAAACAGTCTGGAGACTATGATAAAGTGAAAATTGCCGTTATCTAGGCCTATGAGTTAGTGCCAGAGCCTTATAGGCAAATATGTGGAAATTTAAGGAAGAAACAGTGTCAGCCTTTTGTGAAATTTACCAGAGATAAAGGAAATGGTGTTTATTGCAGAAAAGAGAGGCATGGTGTTGAAGCTTTGCAACTTGAAATTGAGTATCCTAATGAATTCAAAGGGAACAATAACTAATACTGAAACAAAACAGAAAGTGCTGGAGAAACTTAGCAGCTCTGACAGCTTCTGTGGAGAGAAAGCAGGGTTAAAAGCTGCAGAGCTGGGCTGAGAGGTGGCAAATGGAGTTTAATGCGGAGAAGTGTGAGGTGATTCACTTTGGAAGGAGTAACAGGAATACAGAGTACTGGGCTAATGGTAAGATTCTTGGTAGCGTGGATGAGCAGAGAGATCTCGGTGTCCATGTGCATAGATCCCTGAAAGTTGCCACCCGGGTTGATAGCGTTGTTAAGACGGCATACGGTGTGTTAGGTTTTATTGGTAGAGGGATTGAGTTTCGGAGCCATGAGGTCATGTTGCAGCTGTACAAAACTCTGGTGCGGCCGCACTTGAAGTATTGCGTACAGTTCTGGTCACCGCATTATAGGAAAGATGTGGAAGCATTGGAAAGGGTACAGAGGAGATTTACCAGGATGTTTCCTGGTATGGAGGGAAAGCTGAGGGATTTGAGGCTGTTTTCGTTAGAGAGAAGAAGGTTAAGAGGTGACTTAATAGAGACATACAAGATGATCAGAGGATTAGATAGGGTGGACAGTGGGAGCCTTTTTCCTCGGATGGTGATGGCTAGCACGAGGGGACATGGCTTTAAATTGAGGGGTGATAGATATAGGACAGATGTCAGAGGTAGGTTCTTTACTCAGAGAGTAGTAAGGGCGGGGAATGCCCTGCCTGAAAAAGTAGTAGACTTGCTAACTTTAAGGGCATTTAAATGGTCATTGGATAAACATATGGATGATAATGGAATAGTTTAGGTTAGATGGGCTTCAGATTGGTTTCACAGGTC